TGTTAATATGCTCTTCAAAATGTTTATCATATCAGTGCAGTCAAATATGTCCGTGGTTTCCACACAATCGAATTTACAACCCGCGCGCAATGATACTGCTCTCATTAACAAATAATATGAGCACGAACCAATAACATGCATATTAATATAGTATGCCGGCCAGAAATTATATATGTTTCTTGATAAATTCACTCATCGGAAAGTCTCAGAGACAGATAATCGACAACGTCCGTGTTTTTCACTCTTTTTATTTTATTAAAATTATTTTTGCTATTGTGTGAGGCTTGACATCAACACGAAGGAGACACCTTCATCAATCACCTCAAGATGGCAATTTAAACGTATTTGTACAGGAAGTAAAACCGTGATGAGGTGAAACATGTAAATTTTTAAGCTTGACCGTTGTACAAAATAATAAATCATTTAGTCTTCCTGTTTCTGTCATTTTCATTATATTGTATATTTTTATTGGTTTATCCTTTTAATGACCACGTAATTTTTTAATGAATATTGTACGTCGTACGATTGCTGTTGCATCCATTAATTTATTTTAATCTCATCTTATTTAGTTTTTTTTCTTTCGAATTTAAGCCCGGAAGTTTTCTCGGCCCCAACTTGATAAAATCAATTTTTCTCGTTCATTGAAATTCTTATTCTTTTTTATATTACCTTTTTTTTTCTCTGCCCTTAATAAATATTTGACTTGAAATCCCAAGCACTCCGACAAATTGTCTTGGTCATAATTTATAAAATATATATATATATCTGTATACATCTTGGCATATTGTTGACCACCCTCCAACATGGGTCTGTCAATCGGCACTCATGAACTCCGAGAGGACCGTGATGTCATAAGTTTCTCATACATATCTATAACAGATTAAAGAAAAAATTGAACTTAATTTCAAAACAAAAAATAAAAAATTAAGATCGTTAGAGTAATATTTTGATAAAACTATAAAAATTATTTCCAAAATTCATATAATTTTCAATTTCAATATCTATGGCTTAAAAATTGGATAAAAATGTTTTGTTAGTTTTTTATTGGGCAAAAAAAAAAATACTGGAAAGTTGCTCTAATGATTTATACGTGTTACAAAATGAATTTTCGATGAAATTATTTTAACAAATTTTATTATCAAAACAAATCAATACTTGTTATTTTAAATCCAACCCATCGATTTTGCATTTCATTCGACCTAGTAGTTTCACCATTTTTGAATCTTAATATTATACAATGTACATGTAATATACATGCATTCATTTTTTCTTAAAAATATATAAGGATTACATTCAATCAATATTATAACATTGTTGTGAACTGTTTAAATTCAAATTGTTTTTTTCTATTCAGTTTGTTTCTTTAGTTACACACTTGTTTGTCGTATAAACTTTTTTGAAACTTTATTCCGAGAAATACCTGTCGTATCGGTGCTTGATCAATAAAAAAAACACTGCTCGTTAAAAAAAAAAAGTTTTGTAATGATGTAAAATATTATTTTTCAGGAACTTAGTTAATGAAATTGGTTTTGGGTTCATAAAACATTTACAATAATGTAAAGAAAAACGTTAAACTAGATTTTAAGAAAGCAGAGAATATGAGTGGCATCTACAAGGTTTTGTATATATACAATAGAATGATTTTCCAAATGGTTCATAAGAATATTAACTTGCGAAATTATAATTTAAATTATTGCAATTAAAGTTAATAAGATTGGATTTATCTGATATCGGTCAATGGGTGAATGATTAATGAAAATCCAATACGATACCATTCAATTGTTGTTAACTATAACACAATCTGTTTTATCTAAAACGTCAAGATGGTTGAAATTTATACTTAGAAAATGCCCAAAAAAAGCCGTAATGTATCTGCTTCGTTTCTGTTTGTAATAAAAAATAACAAAATTATCATTCAGTCGCTTCTTAAACGGAAAATTCAAATCTTACTTCAATAAATCTACATCATAATGACATCTTGAAAAAGCTCAATGTCAACGACAATCACCTTAAAAATTTATAACAGTATTGGAATGGTTCTTAACATCAAATCTTCTTCGTCAACGACACTCGCTTCTTTGCTCGAAATTTAAATCAAGTTATTCTGAGAAAAATACATATACTCTTACGTACCAGCTCTACCAAGTCGTTACATTTGATATTCTGATCAGGGCTTAAATTCTAGAAAAAATATCGTTCTTCCATTTTTGGGTATTAAAACGTTATACAATTTTAACGTTTAACGTTATTGTACTTTAAAACGTTGTACAGTTTTAATGTTTAACGTTATAGTACGTTGAAACGTTATTTGATTTTTTCTATTTAACGTTACCTATTACATTTTTAAACGTTATTTTAATTTTTCGTTAAACGTTAAACGTTATCTATATTATATATAAAAGACAAAAAAAGTTTATATGTCCATTATGCATTCCTAAACCGTTCATCCAATTGCTTTGAAATTCGGTACAGAGGCAGATTAGACTTTGGGGAAGGTTTAAGCTACATTTTGTCGCGAAAAAAGGTAAATAAGAGATCCAACGCGGGAATATTTTAAAACAGGGGTATTGAGATTATTATTATTTTTGTTTATAAATGGTTGATATTGGTTTTAAATGTTTTAATAATAATGATTTTTTTTTTACTTATAGGTAATAAAAAATAAAATATGTTTATAAATGGTAAAATTATACATATAACAAAAAAAAACCATGGACAAAATGTGCACGCGGGGTCCACAATTTACTGCAGGTAGATTGTCCATCTGGTAATACACTGCTACAATAATCACATAAACCTAGCAATAGCAACACATTGCCTTATCCAGCTAGTAATTTAAAAATAAATATGGAATTACATTTATATAAATATATAATTATTATGGAATTAAAGGGTTTCACTAAAAAATATCTACAACTGACTAGCAACTTGAAATTACATTAAATAATACTTCAAATAATACGCCCGCATTTTTCACCAATTAAATCAAACATAAATGGAGAATTATTCGAATAGGTATCTATTTTCTTATCAAGTAATAAATTCAATATTTAAAAATAAACCTTCAATAAAATAATTCGAAAAATACAAATTATTGCCAACACAGGTTAGCCAACTTTGAATTGTTCATAACTATAAGATTTAAAAAAAGAAATTATGTTGGGTTCCAAGTAAAAAAAAAAAAGCACAAACGTTTTTCCACATAACGTTATTTGCAATTTTTTTACGTTACAAATACGTTTATTGTTTATTTTTAATCAATTATGATTAATGATATATTATTTTTAATGTGATTCGACATTTTTCGATTTTCGTTTATTGATTTTCATTTTTTTTCCCGTTATAATGATATATATAACGTTTTGAAGCCCTGATTTTGATGCTAAAAATACTGTTCGTGCTGTATCGGATGCGACCGATAAACCATGATCTACAGATTGTACCACGCCTTTGACAGTTCCAGCCAAATGGGATCATTGTTTAAATGCTCACGCGGCCCACGAAAAACTCGTTTCTATATTTACTTAGATCGTTATATCATCAATAATTTGTTATAATTTGCATTAAATATAAAATATGCATTGATTTCTAGCCATAGTTTTTTGTGCATAACAGTCGCAAACACTATCGTCTATGTTTTATAAAAGCAAATTCAGTTAAAACATATACAATCACACGCCTAATGGTTTATAAGTTAATTTTATTATATGTGCCATTAAAACAATAGCATATATGATCATATTTCTTCAAAACAAATATTAAATTACTTACATATTAAAGATTAAGAGGTATATTTATTTTATTTTTTTAGTTGCTCATAGCTGAAGAGACAGATTATAAGTTCATGAGCGAGCAGTAGGTATAATAAGTATTTTACAAAACTATAAATTAAAAATGTAGATATAGTTTAGTATAAAAAATGTTTTAGCTGTACAATAATTACGATTTAGAATAAACTACTGCAGCCACTTTTGTAACTTATACATATTATCCTTTTCAATTAACGTAGTTGTGATAATCGATTAAATATACTTATAATATGCGAATTAAGTTTTATATTTTGTGAGATAAGAAAAAAAATTAGAGATATGTTTGTATATGATTTGTTGAACGTTCATATTTTTTTTCCCTAGAACTGATATGTATGATACAATTTAATATAATTAATTACTGTTTAGAAAAATCAAACCTGTTTCTTTTCCCGTTTTATAAAAACCAATATAGTTTCAATTCTTTCATTGCTAGAGCATTTGAAAATCTTATTAAGAACATTTAATCTTAATGTCACGTATTGTTTTTTACCGAAATGTATATTTAGCTTTAAATACATTTGTAAATTAATTATTATTACAATTATTAAGTTATTATTGATTGTCTCATTGTTAAAATTATTATTTAAATGTATTATTGTTATTATTATTTTGTAAATGTTATTTTCATTATTTAATGTCATAAATTTAGTCGTTAATTTTTTCTAATTGTTAATCACTTGAATAAATCTAATACTGTTAACTCATACTTACTGTTCTTACAAAATAGTCACTACCCTTTTATTATACATAAATATACATCAAATAATATAATATAATATAATATTATAATATAATAATATAATATAATATATATATATTATATAATATTAGAGTCTGGGACTTGGCATGAGATTTTCTTCAATTCAATGTTGTACTATTTTATCTGTATAACCCATGTATCGATAAATAAATCATTTTTGCTTTGTGAAGAACTAAACAAATATATTGATAATCCTTTCAACTAAATTATATTTATAAGAATATAATAAATAAATAGAGATTTATACAGTATAAATCCACATGTTATATAAAATATATAAGTATTGCATTTTTTACGTCGAAGAAAATCAGTACTCTGTTTTATTGTTTGATGTTCGATACCTGTGGAATAATAAATATTTATTTTGAATGAAATGGTTGGTTATTAAATTTACAAGGAAATACTCAGAAATTAATAAAAAAATAAAATAAAAAAAATAACAAACACAATAATATATTGTTTCTGTGGTTGATATCGATAAAAAAGTAGGTAGGTACATACAATGTAACTTAACACAAATAGCTATTGTACGATATACATTAATCTACGAAAAAAAATATAACAAATAAATAAATAAATGCAATAAAAAAGACAGCCTGTGAGTATTGATAAAACTCCAAAATTGTTACAGTCGGAACGAACATCCACGATAACGGGAATAATGATCGGATCAAACTGGACCCATCGTAATCATGTTCTCTACATAAACTTGAACCGGTTTATCTGTGAATGATGCATAATCTGATCCAGCAACAGTGGTAAATCTTGGCCCCATTGGATGCACGTCTTCAATTACTATAGGCACCCACTGTTTGTCAGTATTACTTGTTTGGTCTACGACTGGTTCTTGCATTCGACGTCCGTCCGCATCATCTGCTGTTCGGTCTACGACTGGTCCTTGCACATGTCGTTCATCTACTCTATCTACTGCTCGATCTTTGATAGGTCCTCGCATACTTTCTTGCACATCTTGCTTGTCCTGATCTACTGTCCGGTCTTTGATGGATTCTTGCATTCTTCGTCCGTCTTCATTATTTGTCGTTCGTTCTTCGACTTGTCTGACGCTATCGACTTGCCGGACGTCGAGTGATTCGTTTTGTTGGCTGTCATAAACCGGTATGGTTTGTCGAAGGCTGCCGACTTGTTCGAATTGTTGGTTTTCATCTTGCCGTACTTGTTCGTACTGCTCACCGTTGATTATCTTGGCTTGCCGTGCTTGTTCGTACACCTGACCGTTGATCATCTCTGCTTGCCGAGCTTGTTCGTATTGCTGACCGTTAATAATTCCGTCATGTTGACCGCCGTCGAGCTCTCCAGATTGTTCGTATTGTCCATCGTCTACTTGTACACCCTGCCCGTTGTCCAATTGTTCGTCTTGCCGGTCCTCGACTTGTTTGTCCTGCCGGTCCTCGACTTGTTCATCCTGTCGGTCCTCGACTAGTTCATCATGTCCGTCCTGTCGGTCTTCGATTCGTTGGTCCTGCCGTTCATAAGTTTGTTGCTCGTCGACTTGCTGGCCGTCGGCCGGTTCGTCTTGCCTGTCGTCGGTCGATTTATTCCGCGTCCATCGCTCTTCGCCCGGTAAACGTTCGAACCGCGGAAGCTCGATCGGTCCAGGTTGGCCTTGTGGGAACCACCGGCGGTTTTGACGAAACCATTGCGCACGTTCGGCGGCGCGCAGGCGGGCCGTGATCCGTCTACCGCCATCGTTCACCGAGAACCACCGGCCGCCAGCACCGTTGCCGCCGTACGGTGACTGAGCGGTTGGATGTTGATCGGGAACGGGCCACGCGCGCCGTCCGTAGAAACCATCGACGGAGACGCGGCGTACCTGTCGCGTGGGGTGGCCGACTGCGCCGCGCCACCCGTCCACCGAGCCCATGAGCTGCCCGAGAACGCGGGCCGCGTGCGAGTCGGCTGGCGGCGGTGGTGCGTTCCTGTGCCCCGGGTACATGGCCTCTACGACCGTCTCGAACTTGTTATCCGCGTTCTCGAGTGGCACGAACTTGCATCGCAACGTGACCGGCACGTTCACGTACGTGGGCAGTTCAACCACTTCGTCGCGCAGTAACGACGGATCGACGCGCAGGCTGTTAGCCGCTAGGGTGGCGTACGGCGGTCGCAGCGGTTTCCTCTCGTACTGCTGCGCCAACGGCCTGGCGATCGCGCCCCGTTTGCGCACTTCGTCCGCCGCGTACGGAGAGTACCCTTCGAAGTCCCGTTGGT